CCTGGCAGATTTGAAGGTAGCAGTTTTTATACTTCTTGCAACCATGTTTGCAATTTCCTGTTTAGGGGTGGTGATGGACGGAAGGTCTGGGTGGAGCCTCACAGCCAGATTGCCTCCCATCTCCCAGCATCGCCTCACTGAACTGTGTGTCTAGCCATCTTTGGGAGCACAGTCAAACCATAGCAAGCTCAAAGGGAATCTGGCCCTGCTGATACCTGGTCTTGACTTACAGCCTCTACAGCTATGGTCCCTTTCTGTCATTTAAAGCCCCTAGTGTGGTCCTTGATAACAGACTCCCAGGAATTAAATCCAGCCCATTTATATCCTTTTCTTTCCACGTCCACAACGTCCTCATTGATTTCATCCTTCCTCTGTCTTCACAGGATCATCTACAGTCTGATGAGTCCCAGATTTGAATCTGTGTTCCCTTCTCCCTTGGGCTCCTGGCTCTCAAATCCTACCTTGTTTGTTCTTCATTGGATTTCTAGTAGACATCTCAGACTTAGCATGCCTGCAGTGACCCCCAGCCGCCCACTCTTCACACTGCACTGACACTGGTACTCTGTCCTTCTGGGAGTAGAAGCTAGAAACCTTGTGTTTGATTTGATCCCCCCTTATGTATGTGTGTGTAACACAAAGACGATGGTGGTAGTGTGGGGGGTGTGCTTTCTCGGGCATGCTGTGGCACACGTGTGGAAGTCGGAGGACAACTTTGTGGAGTTAGTTCTGTCCTTCTGTCATTCTGGGGTTTCTAGGAATCAAACTCAGGTTGTCAGGATTGCCCAGCAAGCACCTTTGCTCCCTGAGCCATCCTGCTGGCAACTCTCCCCTGTCTTTGATAGCATTCCCCACAAGACCTCTCAGCAGGCTGTGGCTCTCTTGAGAGCATGCTAGGAGTCCAGCTCTTTCTCACGCTGTCTGCTGCCATGCAGGTCCAGGTCCTGTGACCTCACCTCTGCTTTTAGCTGCTGCTTCCTCCTTAGTCGGCTCTACCAGTAGTCAGGGCAGGGACCCCGGTGAGAGCGTGCTTTTCCTACTGCTCCTTTAAAGCTCTCAGTCACCCCTGCTCCTGAGCACCAGCCCAGTCTGCACTGTCCTCATGGCTTTCAAAGTCGTCCCATTGGCATCACTGTCCCCCTGCCCCTCACCTCCTTGGATTCTTCCAGGCTCCTTCCCCTTCCCTGCTGTTCCTCAGCATTTTTCCTGGATTGGAGCCTTCCTCCTGGCTCCTCTGGAATCCTTGCTGCATAATAAATAGAACTGACGTCATGGCAGTCAAGCGTGGCTTAATGGTGGGCACGTATTCTGGGAAACGTGTTGATTTCTCCTCTGTGGGAACAGCGTAGTATTCTGACACAAACAGCGAGTCTAACTGCAAACAGACTACATTATAGCGCCTCTTCCCCTTCCAGGCCTTTCAGAAATGTTACCTGCTTAGTAAGATCAGCCATCTGCAGACTCCAGTGGCTAGCCTCCAACACTTCTGTCCTCTCTGCTTAATTCTCCCCCTTGGCATTTTCTGTCAAACATCCTGCCTGTTGGGCCTGTTACTTTTCGTACCATGTGACCCACACATTGGAGGAGAAGTCCTCTGAGGACAGGAGGTGGCTTCTCTTGCTTTCTCCTTCATCCTCAGAGGTGGGCTGACGGTAGACATCAGAAATATATGCTGATTGGTGTGTTGAATGAGTAGATTGCTGATATGTTTTAGTTGAACTTTCTTTTAAAAATTTATTGAATTTTTATGTATTTCATACAGAACATTTTAATCATCTTTATACCCCTTTCCCTACTGGCCCTCTCCTATAGTCCCCCTCCACTGGAATCCATACATTCTGTCATTTGTGTTAAGGCCTATGGTGTCAAGTTAGTGTCCCCAGACATCCCTCAGTGCAAGTTCATCCACTGGGGGTCTAGTCAGCCTATCTGGAGTCCCTCCCTTTAAGAAGATCAGCTTTTCCTGACCCAGTAGTAATCAGCTGCCAATAATTCTTTGACTAAGATTGGGGCTTGTTGCTGAACTTATCATTTTTATATTTCTTTCGCCACTTAAATCCAGTTATGCCCATTCTCAGTCATGGAAGAGAATAGAAAGATAGTGTAACAAACACTCTAGGACCCACCACCTACACCTAACAGCAGCACATGACCGTATTTGCTTCAGCCATTTTGGAGGTGATTTCTACATGCTATGACATATACACATTCCTAAACGTTAAGGCATTTTCCTGTGTCACTGTGGTATCTTCCTAGGGTGGACAGTATTCCTTTTTTCTTACTGCATGCCATCCATATGCACATTGACCGATTTTCTCATAATGCCTTTTCCTGCCAATTTATTCAAATCAGAATCCAGTAAAGACTCATTAATCCCATTTCACTAGTTCTTTTTGTTTATTTATTGAGATAGGGTCTTGCTATGTAGCCCAGGTTGGCCTGAGACATTATCTTTGGTCTCAACCTGCTGAGTGCTGGAGTTGCAGCCATGTACCACCTTGCTTGTCTTGTCTACAATCATCTGGACGGTGCCCTAGTCCTTCCACACTGTGTCACCCCTCGCCCCGTGACATGTCATTGAACAGTCCCACCTCGCGGTCCTGTAAGGTGTCTCGCTGGGTTTCTTCTGGTTGCTTCCTTCTGGTATTATTTATTCACGGTTCTGTCCCCTGTGTTTCCTGCAGACAGGAATGTGAGTTCTAAAGGCTGGTGGGTGTGATTGGCTGGATGGAGTCCCACCCTTCAGCTCTTTCCTTTGTATAATGGGGGGTTTCTGGCATACCTTTGATAGTAATGGAGATTTTGAAAATTAATTTATTTTTATTTTATGTGTACGAGCATTTTGCCTGCATGTATGCAAGTGCATCACATGTGTGCAGTGCCTATGGAGGTCAGAAGAGGGCGTCAGATCTCCTGGAACTAGAGTTACAGACAGTTGTTAGCCACCATGTGGGTGCTGGGAACTGAACCCTGGTCTCTGTAAGAACAGCTAGTGCTCTTAACACTGAGCCATCTCTCCAGCCCATGTTTTTTTCTTTTGTTTTGAAAGGTCTGATATTTTCATGATTATGCCCTAAAACCCCCAATCTGTTTTGTGCATCAGGGATGATGGCTTCCCTGAACTCCCAGTTCCTGATGAGCCATCCCGGAGTGCGGTCCTTGACTTCCAGGGGTGAGGATGGTGAACCTCCTCCAAGCTTCAAGACCTCTTGAAGTTCCTGGATAGAACAGAGAGTTTTGCTCCGGGCTGGGCAGTGTCTCCTCTGTGTTCCTCCTTCCTTCCCCACCCTGGCTCAGGGTTAAGACAGAAAGCAGCTTTGGGGTGCCACATTATTTTGTGGAGGAATTGGTTTTTCTTTTGCCTCTAGCCAGTGTTGAAACTCCTATAACAGGAAGACACTTGTGTCCTCTAGAGGCAGAGATTGTGTGCTGAGGTATTTTGTGTTCTAAGAATTCTTCCACTTGAGGTTTTGCTTATTTCCCAGGCAGGATAAGAAATTTCCTTATGAGGCAAAGTATAAGATGCAAGGGTAGGTTCACCCTTTCTTTCTTTCCCCTCCCTCCCTCCCTTCCCCAATGACATGACATAATTTCATTCTTCTTCATAACTGAGAAATACCTCACCGTGTATTCACGGTGTATGTACACCACACATTCAAGAATTCCATCTGTCTGTTGATGTATATCAAAGCTGATTCCATGTCCGAGGAGCACAGTGCCATAATTTTAAACACGGATGTGTGGTGTGTATGTGGCAGGTGGACTTTGTGTTTATACCCAGAAGTGGTACAGCTGCATTGCAAGGAAGATGTAGTTTAGTTTCTTATTTTTCTTTTCATTTTCCTTTCATTTTAAGGAATATTCAAACTGTGTTTCCATAGTGGCTATTAATAGATCAACAACGTACAAGTTTATTTTTCTCCATAGCCTCAAGGTTGGGTGTTTTTATAACTTCATGGGCAGTAATGGGGGTCCTATGAAAACCAATTAAGTTTATTTTTTGAGGCAGGGTCACTATGTAGCCCTGACTGGCCTAGAACTTGCTCTATAAACCAGGCTGGCCTTTAACTCACAAGAGATCCACCTGCTTCTGAGTGCTAGGAGTGCTGCGATTAAAGGCGTGCACCACCATGCCTGGCCCCAGATGACTTTCATTGTCAAATTACCACTGCTAGATGTACCTTCTTTCTGAGCTGTGATATGCCTATTTTTTTTCCCTCCCTCCCTCCCTCCCTCCCTCCCTTCCTTTTTCTGTTGTTTTATAAATGCATGGAATACTAGATAAATACCAACCTAGAGCTGGAGAGGACTCATGAGAAACACTACGGTTTAGTTAGGGTAGGAAGTAGATTAATTGCGTCTGGTTTTCTTGGATCCTGGTTTCTATAGTTTTAAACTATGACATATTTAGTGTCCAGGTCTATTGTACTGTCAACAGAGTACTTGAGGCTGGGTAATTTGTAAAGAAGTTAATTTCTCACAGTCCTGGAGGAGACTGAGAAGTTCAAGGTTGGATGGGGGGCTTATCTAGAGAAGACCTCTTTCCTGGGGAGAGGGGTGCCTCTAGAGTCCACAGGCAGCAGTGTGGACATCAGATGACAGGGGGCACATGAGAGGTGGGTGCCTTAGGTTTTATAACAGACCTACTCTGTGATAATTAACCCACTTGCTCAAATAACCCAGTAATCCATTAATGGATTAATCCATTCAAGAGGGCATAGCCCCCTCGACTCGGCACTTCTCAAAGAGCTCACCTCCAAATTAACCCATGAATTTGGGAATTAGGTTTGTAACATTTGAGTTCTGGGAGACATTCACACCATAGCATTTAGTCGATTTGTTATCATGTGGTGTCATTGTTTCCATGTACAAAATATGCTAATCTGGCTTTTCTTGGTTATGAATTGGGAAGTACTCTGTTATTCAAATAGCATTTTCAGGAAATGCTACCATCATTGAATGAAACCTCAAATCTTAAACTTTTCTTTTCCCTCTTGTGACAGGAAATCCGGAATTCATTTATGCAGTGGCTGGAGAGACATGTGGATCCTGAAGGAGTCATAAAATCGAGCAAGCTCTCCCTTAAATTCATTTCATCTTGCACATCTGAAGTAGAAATCACCCCATCTTCCATACCTGTGGTTACAGATTCAGAAACCTTCTCATCGGAGCACTTTAACCTAGAGATCTACCGACAAAACCTGCAGAGCACACGGCTCGGAAAAGTAATTCTGTTTGCAGAAGTGACCCCCACAACCATGAGTCTCTTGGATGGGTGAGTTCTGATCACGCTCCTCTGCCTGTCCAAGGTGCTACTGCTGTTAACTCTTCTCTGTATCCAATGGTAGGAGAGAGGAGTCAACAGACTTATCAGCATGTAGATGTACCCTGTCCTGTCCTGGAGAGCTGCTTAAACCATTCAGAGAGGAGTTAAGTGAAGTTGCTTTAATCAGAGTCTGTGTTTTACAGCCTGGCCTTATGTGTCTGGTGTCACGCTTTCTTTAATCAGCCCTTTCAAAACATCCTTGGGAGAAAAATCATGAAAATATGTTTAACAGGTGGCATGAGTGATCAGGTGACTAGTTTACTTGTGCGCTGCGATAGTCAGTGTTAAACATTTAACCTAGGATGTTTGACAAGAGTCTTAAAAGAGCAAATTGGAGTGACACATAAGCTGGGTTTAATGGAGATAAGTTGGAACTTGATGTTTTGAAAACTATTCTGGTACAGTCCTTTCCAGTACATTTTTTATGCGCTCTGTAATCCCTTTTGGATGTTTCAAATTTACTTTTATTGCAACTTTTCATTTTTACTTCTTCTGTGGACTTTTGTTGAAAGTTAAAACATGGAAAACAGATGAAGGGGATTTTTCTAAACTCCACAATTTGTCGGTACTAATTAATACTATTTTAGTTTTTGAAGTTGGCTAATGGAAGGAGGGAATAAGAAAAAGTATCTTCCCACGACGTGGAAACACAGTTGAAGAAATGTAAGACTCCAGAAATAACGGGATTTACAGTTTCGAGGGTTTACCCACAGGACTACGTGATTAGACAGACGTATAATTCCCATATAATATGGGATATTTTTGCCTTTGTTCTTTGTATCGTATGGAATGGAATCATGTGATCGTATGTTGATATAACGTGATGAGGTAACTGGAGCGTTGTCGTGTTGCTCACACGGCGAGCAGACTGGCAGTGTCCGTGTGTGGAGTCCATAGGGAATCAGCAAAGGAGGGCACTGTGAGCATGCTAAGTGCCACGTTTCGCCTACAGAGCTAATTTGTGTCCTTATAGGTGCCTACTTTTTTTATTTTCCCCAAAGAGTAAAATATTTCTGCTTTTCCCAGGGCTGTCGGGAATCCTTGTGTCTTCTCTCTTGGTCTACCAAGTGTAGACAGTGAGATGGCTTTGATTGCTGTTAACCCCTCTGCAGGGCAGGCACTGACTGGGCAACTGTCCCCATGGGTTCCTCCCCAGTGCTCCAAGGTAAAGTTGTTTTCAGCAGCCTGCGGAGTCAGCAGGTCAGGTTAGAAGTTCCTGGGGGCAGGGGATGGGGAGGTGCAGCTGTTTTAGGTAGAAGTGTTTGAAGAGGTCTCCTTAGTGCTGAAAGTCTCCAGAATGTATCACAGGAGCTGGGTGACAGATAAAAGAGATACACAGACTGTTAGTTCCTAAGGGATTTCTAGCGCTGATGTCCCTTGATTCCATAGCACCAACCCTCACGGAGACGCAGGCAGTGTTCAGCAGGTGCGTTCCCTCCCAGATGCCTCTTTGCTGTGTGTCTCGTATCTGCTAATCTCACTCACCGTGTCTTCATGTCTTGTGGCCATGATTGGACAGAGTCACACATTCCTGTCACGTTAGTGCATATAATGCTAGATAGCAGGATTTACTGTGTGAGGAATGGCTCCGGTTTCTGAATATTTATTTTTAGTGCACAACTATTGGATTGGCCAAGAAGATGGGGTAGAATTTTCAAATCCATGAGCTGAGTTCACACATGCTCATTTCTCTCCACATCCCCAAGGGGTCGAGCAGTGTTTTCCTACCAGGCTAGAGATGTGAAATTTGGTTTAGATAGAGGTCTTTCTCATAAAATTCTTTTAAAAATATTTTATTTATTATTTTTATTTTTTATATGTATGAGTGTATTGCCTGCCTGTGTGTAAGTGCACCTGTGTGGAGCAATGCCTGCAGAAGTCAGAAGAGGGCGTCAGATCCCCTGGAACTGGAATTACGGATGGTGTTTAGCTGTCATGTGGGTGCTGGGAATCGAACCCAGGTCCTCTTCAAGAGCAGACAGTGCTCTTAACTGCTGAGCCATCTTTCCAGGGCCTCTCAGAAAATTCTTAAAACCCCTTTTCTCTGTTTACCCTCCCCACTCCTTGGAATGTGTGTTACCTAAAAGTTGGGAGTTTTCTCCCTTAGAAGAGGGAGGTCCTTAGTGGGGAGACCAATGATTTCTGCCACAGAACCCAGGGAGCCACACACCCTTCCTTCCTTTGTTGAAGCCTCTCATGCCTCCTTAGAAGACACTGCTGGTGTTCCAGTTGCTACCTCTTCCTGGTTAGATCCCGAGGTGACGTGTGGCCTTCACTCTCAGGGCTGCATGTGGCTCACTGACATGTCACAATCTGGTAAACAGATAAGCTCAGTCTAGGGTTATAGTCAGTGGTAGAGTGCTTGTCTAGAATGCATGAGGCCTTGGGTTCATTCGCTGGCATCACAAAAACCAAAAAAAAAAACAAAAAAATGAATAACCCAAAGAGGCTCTTCCCCTAACATACCCATGTACCATACAATATCGTAGAAACAAAGACCATTCATCCCTGGTCCCAGCACTGATGATCAGTCTCTGTTGCTTTCTGGTAGTTCAGAACCTACCCTCTAGGACAGCTCTCGTGTCCATTGTCTTTTGGGGCATGCATTGTTTTCTGGAAGGTCTTCCCTATTCCACAGTGGGGAAGGGCAGAAGAGAGGACAGACTTCCGGTCCTACCTCCTGGGAGGTTTGGAGTCTGGCATTGGTTGGAGGACTGAACACTCACAGCCAGTCTGATGGTATCTGTGGCCATGTGCCTCTCAGAACTTCAGTTGGCTGCTTCTCTGGGGGTTCTGTGTGAGTGACCATCAGAGACTGTCCAGCCACACAGCTTTTTACCCTAAAAACTCTCACTAATGCAACTCTCAGTTCTCATCAATGAAGCTCCCTCGTGCAGCAGAGGGCCAGGAACACAAAGGGTCACAGATGGCCAAAACACAGAGATAAGAGTCTATAGAGTGTGGGTCCTTGGACAGGACTCCTATTTTAAACTCTACCCACCCAGGGCTCAGGGACCATTGTGGAAGAGGGGGTGGAAAGATTGTAGGTTCAGTGTCATGAGAGCAAAGCAGGCTGGGTCTCAATCCACTATGGACCCTTTTTGGAAGCTTTACTGGGCCTTGTTCCTCTCCTACGGCTAGGCCTAGTCATATGGCCTACATGCAAAAAAAAAAAGCAAAAAAAAGCTTAGGGAACAAATGTGGTCTCTCTCTCTCCCTTCCACTCTCCTTTCCATTCTCCCACACGTGCACATGTGTGTGTGTATGTGTGTATGTGTGTGTGTGTACATGTATGTGAGGGTGTATATAGAGGGCAGAAGCTGATGTTGGATGTCTTCCTTATTCACTTGTGTTTTGAGGCAGGTCCTCTCACGGCACCTGGAGCTCCCTACTTCAGCTTCGCTGCCTAGCCAGTGAGCTCCAGGGATCCGCCTGTCTCCACCTGCCCAGCACTGGGATTGTAGGAATGCCGTGCTGCACCCAGCCTCTTTATGTTGGTGTGGTGGATCTGAACTTGGGTCCTCTTGCTTGTGTGGGGCACATGCTTTACTGATGAGCCATATCCCGAACTCCCAGATGTGGTCTTTATATGAGGCATCTGTGAATCCAAATGATGATCGGGCTTCTGTTCCTAAAGAGAAATGTTGGGGAGACACTTGGGGACAATTAGAAGTCTGTGGCCATTTTTCAGGGAGACCTCTGCTGTGCACACCTCATGACCCAATGTATATAGGCGTCAGTCACAGGTGGAGGTCATTATTTGCTGGACACACTAGTTCTACTTCTTTGCATACTTAGGTCGTTAGAGGCGTCTTCTGTGAGTGCAAATCTTATCTGACAAATACTTTGGAAGACATTGTATTTTTGTCTTTGACTACTAAGCCAATTCAACTACCGTGGTGCTGAAGTAGACACCGAAAACTTTCATTTATCTCCGGGTATGACGTCAGGCTCATCTGAAAGCCATAATGAACCTTCATCTTCTGTCCCAACCCTCTGACTTCAGGAGCGGGAACAGTAGAGGAAAAGCTGAGAGTTGCTTGCTGATAACTAAGGGCAATCAAAAGGCCTGTAGATCTCCCCTCCCAAAAGCAAAAGCTGGGGCAGTGAATGACATTATCCCAGTCATCCAACTTGGCTCTGCCACCCAGTTCCTTGGGCAATTTTGGCCTTTATCTCCGGTCCCAGGCATTTTATCTGGCATATCTTCCTGGCAACAAAATTCTCTCCCTACTCCCCTATGGGGGGAGTGCCTTCTGTATGCAGTGCTGTGTGTTGCTGGCTCCACAGGAGTTGAGAGGCCTTGTTTTTCTTTCTGTGCTGTTTCTTGGTAGGTTTCCCATGTCCAGTTAGCTCAGCTGTTGGTTAGAGTCCCAAGGCATGGGCTTCTCCAGGCTGTGTCTGGTCCAGTGAACTTCCCCGTGTTCCATGGTCACGTCCTACAGCTGGGGCCCAGGGAGCCGTCTGCGAATGTGGTGGGGTCTCGGTAGGGGGTGTGGATGGGCCACCACAAGACCATCACTGGAAAAGCACCTCCAAGTGCTTCAACTGCTCACTCTGCCCTGGTGTCTGAGACCCTAGGGCTCTCTGTTTACTGATGTGATGATGGGCTGCCTCCTCGGTGAGGACAGCCTGGGGCCAGAGAGCACGAGATTGTGGGGTAACTGAATCATGAGTCATTGTTATTTCTGGAAGCGTCTTCTCTTCAGTTACGATGTCTTTCTTGATTGACTTATGCCAGGTCTCTGTCAGATATTGAAATGACTTACACAAGAAGCAGGTGTGTGGTGATCCAGACGAATACGAGCTAATTTCCTATGCGTACTTGGGCACGCTGAGTGGACTGGTCAAGTGTTGGCTATTTGTTTTTTTTTAATCTGCAAAGGGTAATTTCTATTTACCTAGTCTGTGTTTATTTCCTTGTCACTGTTTAAGTCCCTGGCTCGTTT